TTCTTAAATTTCCATTAAAATATATTGGATTTAATCCTAATCCTAATCCTAAAATATATTAAAAATTGTTTAATGAATTTTGAAAACATACTTTTTCACTCTACCACAAAATAATTTGTATAAAAAATGATTTTGGTTTTGTTGAAAATTTAATGATCATTTTAATATAAATAAAAAATCTTAACATCTGAGTTCAAACAAATATAATGCGGACCATTTAACATTTTTATAAATTTTCTGTTATACTACTTCATTAATTTTAAGAATTTCAAATGGATATAAAACCCGGTCCGTTTCAATTACTTAGAAATTAATTAGGGTTAATAAGACAAACAGAAAAATATATTAGAAAATTTTAAGAACAAATATTACTAATCACTTCAAGAGCCATATTCAAAGTTTTCCTAACTAACCCATTCGCTTTCATTTCTCGCCCTCTAGATGGAACGCGATTTGGATAAGACTCAGCAAAGCGGTTTTATGAACGATTTGCTTGGACATTCAGAGATTTCGGAAAATGTCAATACTTTACAAAAAGTTTGTATAATTTTAATTAATTTATTGCTACGCATTATTTAATAATAAAATAACCTAAAACTATTAATAAATGAATTCACTAAATTCACAAAAAAACTCTTTTTATCTGTTACTTTTCCACATACGTTGCTGCAACATGTTTGCTTGTCCGCTCAACCTGCAATTACGCCATAGATACGTGAGCTTGAGGGCATGGTCACACAGTCGGAGAGTAAAATAATTGCAATGCAAACACAGAACAACAAGTTCGAAGAGCTGCTTGCGAAGCGTGATGAGACAATCAACGAATATGAAGAGAAAGTAAAGGAATTGGCTTTCCAAAATGCTGAACTCTTGGAGATGATGGAGAACAAGGAAAAGGATATGGCCAATATTGAGGTAAGTGTGCTGCGCATACACATATAAAACAATTTTGTTGCATTCAGCATAAAGATTTTGCSTTGCATTTGAGTTGAGGTGTTGCTAAAGTTTGTCAAAAACTTTGGTGTTCACATTAAACTAATTTAACTACATGTATGTTGTGCTGAAAGAAGTGTTTCAACTCCCTAATAGTTTAGCCAGAATTGCTAATTTATATTCTTTATACTTCTGTGCTTTTTAATAAAAATCAACCTCTCATTGTTTGAAACTTTCGCTTAAAGCTTAATTTGAAAAGTCTACGTCTGTGCAATGCCGATCTGAAGGAAGATAATAGCAATTTAATTGAAGCTTTGAAGTCCACTCAAGATAATTTCCATAAAGAGTATTCAAATATGAAAGTATGTGAAAAGCGCATGCGCGAACAGCAGGATGCATTAAGCCAAATGCAAGTAAGTTTCATAAAAAAGAYTTGTGAGTTATTATTAGTTARAAATGTAGTGCAAGAGTTAGAAATTAGTTGCCTATTAGCTGTTAAGATTGTTAGATATCCAACACTTAGTTTGTAGATCTACAAATGATAGTATATTAGTAGTAAAAGAAAGTTCTCTTAAATTCACATTTATTAATCGTTTTCAGTTAKAATATACGTAGTGTGGTAGGCGAARCTTACGAATACCAAATCRTTTTGATTTCGCAATTTTTTTCGAATATCAATTTCTTCGAATTCGAAAAATTTAAGTTCAATTTCGAAAGATATGTTTAAACCAAATCATTTAAATTTCGAAAAACTTATTCCAATACAAATTCATTTCAATTTCGAAAAACTAGTTCCAAAACAAATTCATTTCGATTTCAAAAAACTAGTTCCAATACAAATTCATTCTAATTTCTAAAAATAGTTTCAAGACAAATTCATTTCGATTTCGAAATATCTCTTAGATACCGTTTTAATTCGATAAAAAAAAATCTATGGTATTCCGTCAATTATTAATTCATCTCCATTTCAAAAATATTAATTTCGATTTCGAAAGACTTGTTCTAATGCCGATCAGTTTCGATTTAAAAAAAAGCTTATCGACATCGAGAGATTTGAGAGAACATCATATTATTTCGAATTGTGTTAAAATGTCAATTAATTGCTATTTCGAAATATTGTTAGAACACTAATTCTTTCGATTTCAAAAAAATTATTTCGTTTGCGAAAGATTTGTTCTAATACCAATTAATTTTGATTTCAAAAAATTCATTTCGATATCGAAATATGTGTTAGGATACCATTTTATCTCAAAGCTTGGAACACCAATCCTTTCAATTTAAACAAAACAAACTAATTTCTATTGCGAAAGATTTCTTAACATATGAATACATTTGGATTTCGAAAAACTAGTTCTAATTACTTCAACCGAATTCATTTTAATTTCGAAAGATATGTACATATCTTAAAATTCAAATTCTTTTCGATTTCTAAAATTTTATATCAATTCATTTCAGTTTCGAAAGATTTCTTCCAATACCAAAATATTGTTCGAATATCAATACGTATCAATTTCGAAGTATTTGTTTAAAATAAATTCATGGAAATGATTCTACTAATATCACTTCATTTCAAATTCGAAAAATATATTCGTACATATATATATCTATACTCTTCTTTTTTTGAAAGATTTTCAAATACCAATTTATTTGAGATTCGAACATTTTTTTCGAATATCAATACATTTCGATTTCGAATTATTTGTTTGAAGATCAATTCATTGAAACTTTGAAAAACTTCGAATAATTTCTATTTCGCAAAGTTCTTTTTGGATATCAATTAATTTCAAATTCGAAAATATTCTATGAATATCAGTTAATTTCAAATACGAAAAATATATTCGAATATCAATACATTTCTTTTTTGTAAAATCTTCGAATACCATTTTTTTTTAAATTCGAAATTTTATGCAAATATCAATGCATTTATTTGATAAACAAATTCGCTGAAGTTTTGAAAAAACTACGAAAAATTCGAATATTTGTTCGAATATCAATACATTTCGATTTCGAATTATCTGTTTGAAAACCWATTCATTGTAATTTTGAAAGAGCACTTCGAAAAGTTTGTCCGAATCGACATTCGAATTTCAATTTTGAATAATTTTCAAATTTTACAATATTACTTAAGAACTGTTGCTCACTCGCTTACACTCAATAACTGATTTCGAAATGTTTTATTACTCGTTATATTAAATACTCGTTCAAAACCTCGACATATTAGTTTTGAGAGTAGTTTTGAATTTTTGAAATTTAACGTATCGACAGTTGTACAAAGTACAAGTATTCACGCTGTTTCAAAATTTAATTTTGTATTATCTACCAAAAAACCAAAAAATCTTCTGCATCCACGTCTGCTACTCTCTCTCTCTCCCATCAACTAACCTACCCCAACAGTCGACAATTTCTCTCAAGAGCGCGAATACCGCACGCCTGCTCGAACGCATACAAGACTACGAAAAAATGGTGACCAAAATGAATTTCGAACGCAACTTAGCCAAGCGCGAGAATCGCTTTTTCCGCGCCATCATCGGCAAGCTGCAGCGCAATAAGAACGAATGCTTCACCATCGAAAAGGAGGAGTTCTACCAACAATATGCGCATGAGTACGACGAGAAGCCCGTCGATTGTAATAAACAATACGAAATGAATTATCGCGATATGCTTAAGGGACGTGGCGATTTTCACGGTGAATAYTTGTTAAAGCACAAATTGCTGGTCAACTATAGCAACAATGCCAAGTACAGCAGCAGCAAAGTGGTGGAGAAGTGTGAACACGATTTGCCAGAGAGAAAGGCAATTGTCAAATGTTGTTATCTAAATGATGGTTGCGCGCGCCATCGCGGTTTAGGSTTGAGTAGTGGTGATGGTGGCGGCTATGGCGGTGTTGGTTTCACCTGTGAGGAGCTGGAGRATGATGGCGGTCATGAGCCAGCATTTCCCATACGCTATACAATCAGCGATGCGAGCATGTTTGGYGGCTGTGATGCTGGCGGCGTTGGCGGTGCTTGCGCATCGCACTCGGGTAGTTGCACTTCGTTGCAGGCAAACTTTTCGACAGCAAGCATTTACTGTGGCGACGTCGAACCGGCGCCAGTCGCAGATAGGGAATGTATGCAGGTGAGCGTGTTGTTGTCTTTGGGGGTGTTGTTTTTTTTTTTTGGTAATTTTCATTCGGATTTTTATAAAAAATTACAGCATAAGCGGCACAGCCCATTATCCAATGTGGATGGCGTACGTTTTGTATATTCAAAATTTGGAAATTTTTAGCGCAACTCACGCATTACTATATCGCATTACAAACGCTCTATCTAAATATTGGTGCAACGTCAGGTCGAAGACGACGCCGCAGTTGCTAAGTTCAGGGGCGTCAAAGCTTAAATGCCGTTCAAAATTTTATGCACAAAACATTGTATGCAAATGAATGATCAATGAGTGTTAATTATATGCTGTTTTCAGTGCGCATGCGCAACAACTGCTTCAACATTACACTGATTTCTTGTATGACAACACAATTTTGTTGCATATTCTTACAAATTAACATAAATTTCCTTTATCTATTTTGTAACATTAGTACTTGTATGTMTGTATATGTATATATATATATTTATGTGTGTATTTTACAACGGATTTTTTGCTATTTGAGTTTAGTACACATGTATGTACATATATTTTTGTAAAAAAAAAATTGCATGTTTGTAAAAAATTTTGAGAACCGAAATAAATTGCATTTATTTTTTGCTACAATTTTACCGAAGAAGGCTCAACTCAAATGCAATGCAAAAGCTCGAAAGCATCATTACTATTACATCATATATGTATATTCTTGATTTCAAATTTGCTAATTCCACAATTTATTTTACATGCGCATACGCAGCGCGACTTGAAGGAGAAGAAGATCGCSTTGGCTGATAAACTGTGCGAGTTGGACGATGCGCAACAGGAGTTGGTRAAGCTGCGCAAAAGCTATGACACCGCCTGTCGTACGCTGCAACAGCTCTTGCAACGCGAGAAGCAGCAGCAACAAGATGGCGGCAAATCATTGAGCGACTCGGAGGCTTTACAAAATCACATTCAGAAATGCGATCATGAGAATACGATTAAGAATCTGGAAGCCGAAGTCAAGAAGAAGACTGCAGCCTTGCAGGTAAGGAGCAAGATTTTATTGATTTTTGAAAAATAATGGATAAGAAGTCTAAGCAAGCAAAAACCGGGCGTGACTTGATTATAGTTATACGCAGAACTGAAGAAAAAGTCAAAGACACTATAGATATACATATATATATATGTAATGGACAGACGGACATAGCAGAATCCTATCGGCTTGACACGCTAGCTAAGACGATGCTGCCCTGTCCGTCTGTCCTTGGCATATTTACTGACTTCAAGGGGGCGTTTAACTACTCAAGCTGGAATGGTTCATGGCTGTCCGCAGGCTTGCATCTGAGGTCCATATATTTGGATCCTTAGAATGGAATATCTATTTGGGCAGCTCGAGCCACTCTAAAAGTGTTGKGCGTATGAGGACGACTTTCTTCTGCTGATCGAAGAACGGTCTCTCGCGGTCTGCGTTTGAGCGGGCAGGAGGACAATTGCTGCTTAAGGGCAGATTGTCGCCGGTTCGTCCACCAAATATTCGGGGTGGTAACAGAATGTGTTTCACTCCACACTTGGCGAATGTGGAGCARCGACTACAGGCAACCGTAGRCAAAGTACGATGCATTTTGCGGAGTGATTGTGGTCTCGAACGTCGTGCTGTTCGCACCATATATCGTGGCTTGTTTGTGGCAGGTGCCTGTATGGTGGGAAGCAGCTATGACAATCTTGGGGAGCCAAAAACTTCTTTCAATACAGCGTTGTATGATGATTGTTTGTTTGCTGTCTCAAAGGATGAGTGTTTCATTACTGCGCAATGACTGCATTTTCGAAGATGATGTGGAGAGCGAAGGATATGTAGGGAGCAGAAGACTTTTAGATGATAGGGTCAAATGTAGGTGGCAAGACCGTTGCAACAATGGAGAACATTCGGGACGTTGAGTTTGTTGAGGGTAACCCAGGCTTCAGATTWTGTCTGAGGGTGGGTTTTTTGCTTACGGGGCATGGATCGCTGTATGCATTTTTATGTCAAAGAATCCTATCAGGTTGTTTTTGTGGGGCGGGAGCAGAGGACCGATGTACTCGAACATTTGGGATCTGGTTGGTATGAGGATTAGCTGGACTGTTGGACGTTTAGATGTTAGCAGTATGAACTCTACTAAGCGATATGCCGAAAAGTTTAGGTGGCACAGGCGTTTAAGTGAGAACAAGGGTTAGCTTCTTTTGTGAATGGTGTGTGCATGTAATGTGCGTATGGGATCCAACGTTGGACTGGTCAACAGGGAAGCTCAAGTGTTAGTAGTTTCGGCTACGAGGTCTGACCGGAATCTTAATTCTGGTACCACGTGGAGCAGGTGCCCTTGAATTTCGTTTCAACCTGCTCATGCGGACTGGGCCCTCGGGGAGTATCGTGGTCGTTGTGGTTAAAACCCGAATGCGGGAAGAACTGGCACATTGTCAGTTGAATGTGAAGTTACATTGCAACCGGCTRCCTTGCCCGAAGAATGGCAAATGTTTTAGATAGGCCTTTAATTTAACACGTCACTATTTATCACCACATGTATTTACCCTTCAAAATAAGTGAGCTCGAATTTTTAATTTTATTTTCTTCCATGCGCTTCCGCCTACGCAGAATCTCGTCAACAATGAACTTTGGCAAAAGAATCGTGAAATCGAACGTCTCACAAAGTTGGTCAATGCTAATACGACATCACCACTCTCACCAACAGCCGCCCGCAAGAATCTTGAGTCCCTCCAATTGCAGCAATCATTCACCGAAACTGATTACGCCAAAGCGCTGGAGCACAACAAACTGCTACAACGTAAAGTGGATGTGCTGAATCAGCGTTTGATCAGTGGACGCAGCAATGAAGCGCTGATCGAAGAATTGCGTTTAGAAGCGCGTACAGCACGTGCCGAAGCCGACAATGCAGAAACCTGTCGAGTCGCATATGCCAAAGTTTTCGGTGCGCTATCGGATCGTCTCTACGAGTTAGCCGGTTTCCTCAATTCGCTTATGAAGCACAAGGAGGTSTTGAGTTTCYTGTCAACAGATCGCCGACGTGCCATGCGCACAGCTGTCGACTGCAGTCTCGACTTATCGACGAGCATACGTGAGACGCTGACCACCGGTGATCAAAGCTTTGAAGGTTTAAGCAATTTATCGCGCCTGCTATTGGACGACGATGAACATGAAGTTGTTGGACTCACCAATAAGACATTCAATTCGCACGAACACTTGCGTACGCGTCACTCCTTCGATGTGCTGCGCTCGGAGAATAAGGCCTTGCGTAAGATATTGGATAGTCGCCGCAGTTGTGGCGGCACTGCAGACTATGCGAAGGATGCTAAAGATCGACGCTCATTGCCACCATTTTTGTTAGATAATCTGAGCGAATCGGAAGCGTGGTCCGAACCAGATCGTCAAGTATCGATGGCGCGCATTGGTTTGGAGGAGCACGGCGCTGCAGCGACAAATGTCTCAGTGAAGGACACGATCAGCAWGCAAGCGCCAGCAACKGCCGACACKGACAGCGAGAGCGAAAGTGATGCGTTGCAGCAGAGCCGCACCACAAAACTGCGCAATCAGGAGCGTATTACGCAGCTGGAGAAATTGATTACACAGCGTGATGAGCGCATCTTAATGGTGCAGTTCCAATTGGTCGAGGCTGACAACAATCTGAAGAAGGAATCTCTACGTGCCATATCGCTGACGCAAGAAGTCGAACAGTTGCGTCAACGCAATGAAGAATTAATCACCGATCTGATCGCGATYGGCAGTGAGCCGTCCAATAATAGCAACGCTGCCATCAACAGTTCGGTTATACAGCGGCAGATTGATGAGAAAACGCGCGCCGTCGAACAATTGCAAGCGGAGCGTGATCGTATCGCGGTGGAGGCGCGACTCGCTGAAGTGCAAGTGGRCGCGCTGAAAGCCGACATTGAAGACATCAAGCAAAAGTATGAAATACAATTGAAGTTGGCCAGCGAAAAAGAGCGTCAGCGCTTGGATACGCTCAAACATGAATTGGAGGAGCTCATGCAACAACGCCTRAAGGAGCAAGAGCGCATACACAAAGACACGCTGACACGTGAATGGATAGCGCGCACCACTTACGAAGAGTGCAAAGCGCAACTAACCGAACTGCAAACACAATACATTGRGGCGCAACGCARCATCGACTACCTGACGGAAAACGAGCAAGAACTCAAAGAATCGCTGATCACCAGCGAAATGGAAGTGCGCAGCCTCAAAAAGCAATTAGACGAAAGCGTGCTGCAAGCATCCAAATTTATTACCGAACGCACAAAACTATACAATGAGAAGTTGCAAGTGGAGAAACGTCTAATGGACGTGCAACAACAGCTGAGCACAGCTGAAATACAACACACGACAACAGCACAGCGTGTCAAAGAGCTGGAAGCGCTGCAACAAACGCTGAACGAACAATTGGCGCAAGCCCARTTRGCCTTGGCCGCTAAACATCTAAATGCYAGCGATGCATCTCAGTCGGGCTACGCCTCGGACGAAGTGCAGAAGTCGAGTACGAAACGCGAAAGCAATTCGTCGCCCGATTTGGGTATACACAGCGAYACGGGACGTGTGTCCAGCGTGGAATTGTCCAATCTGCAACGTTCGCTGCTAAAKACTGTGCCTATGCCAAGCGGTGGTGAGAAAGTCACGCAGGAAGGTGTGTATTCATATATTATATTATTAACGTTTGGTATTTAAAATTTATTTTGAATAAGAATCTTGTAAGTTATCCCACGAATATTGTGGAACACRTGCCAAAGTAGTTTTGAAAGTACGAAGTGTTTTCGGTAGGAAACGTCGGGGATCCTATAGAATATATAAAAATTATCAGCATGATGAKCTGAGTCGCTCAGTTTTTGAGATATCATTCTGAAATTTTGCAGTTGTATTTTTTTCACCAAGAAGCTGCTCATTTGTCAGAGCCGCTGATATCAGACCACTGTAGCATATAGCTGCCATACCAAGTGAACAATCCAAATCAAGTCCTTGTATGGAAAGTTTTTTATTTGACAAGAAATCGTCACGAAATTCTGTATAGTTTATTTTCTAAAGCAATTCTATAATCCGAAGAAATTTTTGGATCGGGCAGCATATAGCTGTTATACAATTTTTTTGATCCAAATCAAGTGGTTGTATAGAAAAGTTTTTTATTTGAGAAGATATTATCATGAAATTCRGCATAGATTGTTTTCCAAGGTAATGCTATAATATTCGAACAAATTGTTCAGATCGGAAAAGTTTAACTTACAGCTGCTATACAAACTGAACTTTCAAAAACTTTCACTTTGTATGGAAAACTTTTTTATTTGAGAAGATATTTTCATGAAATTCAACATAAATTGTTCTCCAGGGCAACGCTACAATATCCCAGCAAWTTGYGMAGATCGGGCGACTATAGCATATAGCTGCCATACAAACTGTCCGTTCAAAAATAAGTTCTCGTATGAAAAATTTTTTATTTAAAAAGTTAWTGCCATGAAATTTGGCATAGAATGTTTTCCAAAGCAATGCTATAATCTCTGAAGAAATTGTTCAGATCGGATCACTATAGCATATAGCTGCAATACAAACTGACCGTTCAAAATCAAGTCTTTGTAAGWAAAACTTTTTTATTTGAGCAGATATTTTTACGAAATTCGGCTTSTATTATTTTCCAAGTCAACGCTACAATCTGCGAAGAAATTATTTGTATCGGACAAGTATAGCATGTGACTGCTATACAAACTTTGTATTATAGCTTCCGTATTTTTCTTTTTTTTTTCTTATTAAAAATCACAATAACACTTACAGATGTCAGATACAGCAAACAGGATAAGAGTAACATGAATGCTCTAGCAAGCAAGCGCCCACAACATAGCTCATCCTCTGATCTGGGTATTGAGAGCGATACGGGACGCACGTCCAGCATGGATATCAAAAATGGTACGACAATGTTTAAACATAATGTTTTTTTCCAATACTAAACGCTTTATTTGCCTTACCACCCACATATGCAGAATCCCCAACCCGCACAGAGACGGATGACAGCAACACAGAGAATAAGATGAGTGTGGCGAACGTGAATACGAGTGCAACCGCCACTGTTGGCGCCAACACAGGCTCCCATCCCATACACGATTGCATTAAGGTAGAACAAGAAAATGCCGAATTGCGACGCAAACTCGTACAAACGAAGCGCGCATTCGAAGAGACCTATAAAAAATTGCATATTGCAAATCAGCGTAAAGAAACCTTCCAGAAAGAAATTAAAGATCAAATACTAAAAACGAAAAATGTACTAAAATATGCGCGCCTCCATATGGCTAAAGTGCAACAAACAAATGCACCGCATCATCATGAAACCGAAGCACATGAGCAAGAAACACAACACAATCAACAACAGCAAAAACAACATCATCATCAACAACAACAACAACAACGTAATGTAACAAATGATGGTGGCGCCAGCACGTCAAAATCAAGTAGTGATGCACCGCATTAATGTGTTATTATTGTTTTTGGATAACTCATCCAAGCACATATACACACTCACGCACACACAAACAGCGAGATTACTAAATTTTAGCGCCTAGTGAATGTAACTAARTGCACGTGCAGTCAATTAATTGCAATTGCACTCACTTCGCATTAAACACTGACACACCCCCACATACAAATAAATATATTTACATGACATACCTATATGCTAATTTAGACAAATATTAGTTTAATTAGCACATAAATGCTTAGTTATTAAGCTAATTTTATAGCATTTAAGCACTTTACTCATACAAACATACATATTTATATATAAGGAAGTTATTTTTGTTATTGTTTAATTTTTGCTATTCAACATACGCACATTGTATGTATTTATAAAATTTGTTGTTCGTATGTAAAAATTTTATTCGCGCCTAACTTTAAGTAATTTAATTAATTAACTTCATATTTCCGTTAGCATGACATACACATTTACATAGACGTACATATATTTATTAATTAACAAAATGTCCTAAGAAAATTAATTTATATTTGTAATATTTTAATATAGTGRAGGCCTCATATTTCATATTTTTGCTTAAATATTTTAAGCTTCGGAATTGATTTGAAGAAAACAGCAATTTTTTAAGAA